TCACTTTTACACTAATTACTGAAATTAGTAAATTATCCATTTTCATTTTACCCATAAAAATAATTTAACAATAAATTTATGCACATTTGCCTTTTTAAACATAAGAAAAAAAGAGCGAAAATTCCAGAATTTGCCGGCCGTCGTCGAACTCGTTCTCCGGCGTTAAAATTCAACTTTTTTTCTCTCCGGCGAACTCTTTGACCATCACTTTCCGGTTTAATTGTAAGTTTTCACTATCCGCATAATCTTCTTTTTCTCTCATGAACTCGAAAGCCCTAAAACCCTTCCCCTGTCAATTTTATCAACAGACAACAGGCACGACGAATTGTTAATTCACTTGAATTGCTTTTTTGTGCAATTGAAGGTTTCAAATTAGTACTGAACTTTCAGTTTAGTGATCTAATCCTATTGCTTAATCCGCCTTTTTTTTGGTATTAGTGTGTGAACATTTATGGGGAAAATGTTTATCTGCTATGTTGTGCTTTGTTTTATAGTACTAAACTTCTAATTAATAAATCTAGCATGAACACTAACCTCATAGTTTTTGATTTCTGTTAATACCTGTTATTCTTTGCTTCGGTTATCACATTATTTTGATGTTTGAATTGTACTTTTTTTGAATGCTATGTAATGATTTCTGTTATTATTTGGTATATCTACTTTGTGACTGTATGCTATTTTAACATTGCTTTGTTATGAGTTACTTGAGCCGAAGGTCCGCTTACATCCTCCCTTTCCCAGACCCCACCTTACTCCGTGTATATTATTGTTGTTGTAAAGATTTATCTTTTATTACGGAGTGGACTTGATGGTAAAATTTAATAGTAACTAGTACTAATATTTTTGTCGATGAGTTTAGCTTTCTGTGAATAGCTGCAATGTTACACATCCTGCGGACTTTGATAATGTTGTTTCTTCAGTTTATTCTCTTCTTTTGGTAAAGATACAGTGTAAAATGTGGAATGAGGTAGACTTATTTTCTTTTCGCTTACTGTGTGGCTTTGTAGTTCAGAGTTACCTGTAAATAACTTAATTGTTCAATGTTATAGTGCCTTTTACGACTTTCCCTTTATATAGTCTGATAGTGCCTTTTACGACTTCCCCTTTATATAGTCTGCAAGCACATTGATCAACGTGGATTTTATGGAACCACTAGCACTAATAATAGTATTTTTGTCGATGAGTTTAGCTCTCTAGTGTTGCAATGTTGCATATCCAGCAGACTTTGATAGTGTTGTTTCTTTCAGTTTTTCTCTTATTTTGGTAAAGATACAATGTAAAATATGGAATGAGGTAGATTTATTGATTTTCTTTTCACTTACTGCGTGGCTTTGGTAGTTCTGGATTTTTGTTATATTTGCTTATAAATAAGAATGATAAAGAGAGAGAAATACTGACCAAGCGAGAAACATATTAGCAATGTACTTTCAGCTGTAAATCTTTTTCCTTCTACATTGTGAAGGAACTGTTGTCATCAGTCTTACTTTTGTTTTTTTACATACAAAAAGATAGCACCTGTCAAATGTCTGCATAATCTTATTCATATTTTTATAAAAAATATACAAGAAATTATTTTCTTAGCAATTAATTCACAAGGTCATTGAGAAGTGTTACTCTTATATATATTGTTTCCCTCATGACATTAGACTTCTTCATTTATTGTCAACTAGTTGTATACTTGCCAAAGTTGCTCTGAATCTAACAGTCATAATGGTGTTTTGAAATGGCACGTTTGCTGTTAACAGGCAATTGGTTAATTAAATTATCTTCTCTGTTTTCCTCTAGTTTTTCATTTAAAAGGATCTGAATTGTGATTATCAAGTGTTGCGATAATTCTTTCCGTATAATATTGATATTTCGGTTAAATTTTTTATTATTTGTTAGTGCGAAGCTCCATTGTATAACAGAAACTTGGTCATCTACTCACAGGGCTGACTGGAAGGACTGCTGGAAATGGATCTTCCATGCAAAGAAAGTGACACGGAGGAGTTTTTAACACCTGGAGTATTTGAAATACCTGGAGAGCCAGCTGTTGTTATTAATGGGTTGCCTCCTGTTTCTTCAAATGCTGACATCAATTTTCCGTGTCCAATAGTTACTGATGCAGAATCACATAAGAATTCTAGTTTTGGTCAATGGCTTGTAGGAAGAGAAGTTCGCAAGTTTTTTGGGGACAATTACTACCGTGGGAAAGTTATTGAATTTGATGGGGAAGTCGGTTGGTTCAGGGTGAAGTATGAAGATGGCGACATTGAAGATCTTGAGTGGCATGAGTTGGAACAAGTCCTTCAGCCTTTGGACATTACTATTCCATTGATAACAGTAGCCACAAAGGTCAATAAGAGAAAGCAGAAATCCATTCAAGAATTCAGGGGTATAACTAGAAATCAAGGTATAAAAGATGACATAGACATGGTGAAGAAAAACGCCTTTTTTATGTAGAACTCTGGGCATGTCAAACATGGCATGGCGTATTTTAGCTCATTATCCAGCTTCATGAGCAAGCTATGAGAATTCCGAGACATCTTGTGGAGAATGGTAGGTTAGAAGTAGTGAGTTGAATCTCTATCGTTTTATCGACCAGTTTAATAGTCATCAGTCCAAAGACATCATTTTTTCAGTTTTCTTGAAGTTCTCATTCCAAGTAGTTGTGTAAAAATACTTAGTCGGCGTTTGGCCATAGAATCCAAAAGATTTCACTTTTTTCATATTTTGAAATATATGTTGTTGACTTGTTGTAATTGAAGATGGAGTTGTGCTTGATTTTACTTCTTGTAAAAAAATATTTGGAATGGTTTTTATGCTTTATTGTATACTTCATACAAGTGAAAAGTGAGTTATGAGTTCTCTAAGTGCAGCTTTATTGGTTTTAGACTTTTAGTGAATCCATATTGCACTAGTATCTATCACACGAATATTAACAGCAACTGTTAAATATCTTTTACTATTAAGGCAAGTTCTATATCGAGTAGTGTGGTTAGGGTGACTGTGTATGAGGGTGGACTGGTGGAGTGTTGGTCGATTAAAAACTCTGATACTTATAAGTTGTAGAAATAAGAATGTTAAAGTGGATATGTGAGCATACAGATAAGATTAAGAATAAAGATATATAAGACAAGGTGAGAGTGACTCTGTGACGGACAAGCTAAAGAAAGAGAGATTGATATGGTTCGAGGCTTCGATCAAGATATACAGAAGACCTAGTGAGGGGTGTGGAAATTTAACAATGATGGTTTTAAGGAGAGGTAGAGGTAGACCGAAGAAGTATTGTGATGGAATGATTAAATAGGACATAAGAATTTTTTAGCTCATCGAAAACATGACCTTAGATTGGAGATTATAGAGATCGAGAATTAGGGTGAAAGGTCGACAGCTAGTTGAGTTTAGTGGTTGCATATGATTCTCCTAGTATATATACCAGTAGGCATTAGTATTGGTCTCATAATATTTTGTCCTTTGATTTATATTTTTTTCTTGTTGTTTCTTTGATTCATTTTGTTGTTGTTATTGTTCTTGTTTCGACTGCTAGACCCTCCTTAACCTTGCTTGGTGGATTACAATTGTTATGTTATTGTTATCGTTGCTACTGCATTCATCGAAAAAGAAATCCTACTCAATGTAGATTGTTTACGTATATACTATACGAATTTTAACTACTATCATATTAAATATCTTATACTATATTTAGAAAAAATAGTGATCTATGATCTTATATATGTAGAGCTTCCAAATATAGTAAAATGTAAAAATCATAAAAACCATAGGATAAATTCACACGAAAAAATAGATATATCAAGTCTTGTAATTTGAATTTGAATGTTTTTTTTTGGAGGGAGGAAACGATAATTTTAGTGAGGAGATTAGATTTCACTAGACTAATTTAGAAGATCAATAAACACATTTCATCTCTTAATTAATATTCCTTTTAAAGCTCTTTTAACTTCTATAAATCAAACACTTTGTATCTAATCTCAATACATATTGTTCCTCCTCCTTTTTACCTTCAAATGAACAAAACTCCCCCTTCTTCTTCCTACATTCGTCTTTGAAGCATCGGTAAAATCAGTCCATCCATTAACAAAGTTACTAGAGGTTAGATTTGTCCTTTTTTTTTGTTTTTCAAGTTTTATCATGTGTTGAAGATGCTAATAATTATTCATAAATGTAATTTAAGGATTCAGTATTTAGCCAGTCCATTTTAATTTTGTGTGTTCACTTTGATTAAGTAATTTTTTGTTGTTTAATATCTCCTAACGAGTTATCCCAAATATTTTTCCGCATACAATCAACCATTTTGTTAATATATCATGGAAATCATTATTTGTTTTAGCTGTTGGATTGAAAATTAAAAAATATTAGTTCCTATTTAATAAAATTTTCCTAATATATAAATACATGATCGTTTACCTAAAAATAGCTAAAAACATTTACTTCAATCTCATTTCTTTTAATACATTTTGTTTTGAATTGACTTATATTTTGTCTTTATCAGTATTGAATCAAAGTCTTTATTAAATTTCATAATTTTTTTAGTTCTACTTAATGTTAGTATAAATCTATTTAATAAAATTTTCCTGATTTATAATACATGATATTTTACATAAAAATAGCTAAAAACATTTACTTCGATCTCATCTATTTCATTATATTTTGTTTCTAATTGACCGATATTTTGTCCGTATCATCATTGAATGAAAGTCTTTATTAAAATTTAATCATTTTGTCAATTCTACTTAAATGTTTCTACTAGTACTCCAAAAATTTGTTTTACACCAAAATCTTGGTCAAACACACATTTATAACAAATTAAATATTTTTTCCTTTTAAATAAAGAAAAGTTTGACCTTTCAGAAGATTGGTCAAACATGTTTTAGCTGTTGGCTCGCTTGTTCTTGAGTTCTCAAGTACATTGGTATATTTCTTTATATATGCTTCTAATTTTCAATTTTACTTTTGTTTGTTGTATTAGGAATATATAGAAAAAAAGGGCATAAAACACATCTGATGATATGCCGGACAAGGAAGCCAATCGGGCTGCGAAGATTCTATTGGAAATTAAAAGCAACAAATCAACCAATCCTGGCGAAAGGTCAGAGGAATCACGAGCTATCAATAGTCCTGAAACGATTTACCCCTGTAGCGAGGAAATAAGAGCTTGTTTCCGCAGAGAAGAAGCTCTAAGGTACACACAACCTAACAAGGCTTTCTCATATACAGCTGTGGATGGTAAGAAGGTTGTTGTCGCTCCACTGAAAAAGCGTGGAGGCAAACTATTCAAAAGGATTTGTCATTACAATATTCTTAAGAGGAATAAACCGCCTTTTTTCACTCTCCATTGTTTGGTAAGAGATGCAGCGGCTAGATTGCCCGGAGGAGTTGGGACTAGAGACGATGTTTGTGTTTTGGCCAGGGACTCACAATTCATCGTTGAGGACATCTCCGATTCACAACTTCGCAAAGCTGTAAAGGGAGGGTTGGATCGTCTGCACTATGAAGACGATCCATGTGTAAAATATGAGAAGGAAAGGCATCAGTGGACTTATCTACATGGAGATAGAAAGGTAGAAGATTTTGAAGATGATTCGACATAAAGTCTGTAATGAATTTCGTAAACTAAAGATTTAAAAGACTTTCGGCTGTAATTTTTAATAATGTCTCTGTATTGCTGCATCTTTCTGGATATTTTATGTTAAAAAAAATATGTGCTTGTTGATTTACTAACGCTTGTTTGTTCCTAAAATCAAAACTTGAGAATTCACTAACTTCCTCAAATGGCCACTCACTCAGGTTGATACATGTTTTGATATGCTTTATTTGAGCTTAGTGGCTAATAGAAATTATATTTCTACCTTTAAAAAGTAGGGGTAAGCTGCATACACACTGATCCCCCTAGATCCTACTTCTGGGGTTTCACCGGGTATGTTGTTGATGTCCACTCATCTCAGCTTTTCGGTGCAAGAAGGTGGTTTTTTTCGATTGGAGATTTTTTTTTGTAGGAGATAAGATTTAAGCTGATTGACTTTATTGATGTAAAGATGAGATAATTGGCTTTACTACACAATTTTAGTAACATGAGTGACGATTTGAGAAATTTATCCTTGGCCGGTGAATTTTCGTTTGAGCTATTTTTTGATGTTCCACAAGTCCTTTACCACTATATAAGAACTAGTTGAATCAAGTTCGGAAGTACATTCTGGACTAGTACATTTGTGCAAAACTTGAATAGTTTTTGTCAGATTCTTAGTTTTTGCCAAGCAGCAATTGGAACAATGGGTCTTGCACTGAGAAAATGGAATGGCTTGAAATGGCCATGCGATTGCTTGAATTTGGATAAGTTCTTCTACATAAGTGTCGTTTAGAGTTTTAGTGTGTCGCTTGAGCTTAAGCTCTTCCCTTAGCTTTGTAATTTTATTCATCAATATAGAGATTTTACCTTTTTTTGTCATGAAAGATGACTATTCCAATAGAAACACGCCTGCGCTCTCAGCTAAAAGACTCCCCTCGCTAAAACAAAAACAGCTTTTAGCGTCAATAAAAATACCCATCAACAAACAGTGATAAATCTCTTACCGTCGTTAATTGTCATTGATTCAATGTCGCAATAGGCTTTTGTCGCATTTACAAATAGTGCTAAAATTTAATTGTCACTAAAGAAACATATTTAGCGGCAATTAATTAAGCTACTATTGTTAATAATTACTGTTAAAATCATTTTTGATGATATACTTGTGGCTTTGATCTACAAGTACAGTGTTACATGCATTGTGCAAGTCTAATTGATCGATTGATGCTTGAACTTTTTCCCTTTCGCTGGACTAAAATAAGTTCCCGAAAGATGATGTTCTACAGAGAACTTCAGGTCTTTTCGACTGTTAGCATTGGAAACCACAAGAGATCATATTACATACATAGACTCAGATCATTCAATATTACAGTGACTTTTAAGACTTTCTATACGATCTTAAGAAGTTGCCTTCAGTAGATGAGATTAGGAAAAATGAAGACGGAAAATATTGTATACCACGCGAATTTTATAACTAAAGCTGTATTAAAGATGTTTTGTTATAATAGGGGAAAATAGTGATCTATATAGCTTCCAAATATAGTAAATAAAAATATAAAAATCATCATATAAGTTCGCACGAAAAATTAGATACATCAAGTCATGTAATTTGAATTTGATTTTTTTATTTTGGAGGGTAGAAGAAATATTTTGAGTGAAGAGATTAGATGACTAATTCAGAAAATTATTCAAAATACATTTATCTCATAATTAATATACCTTTTTAGTGAAGAGATCTCCATAGTCTATAAATCAAACACACACTGTGTATCTGAAAAATACTTTTTTCTACACCAAAAACTTTGATCAAACACTTCACACTTAACAAAGATGACAAAAAACACATCTGATGACATGCCGGAAAAGGAAGTCAATCGTGCAGCAAAGATTCTAATGCAAATGGCCAAAACCAGAACATGCACGTCATTCAATCTTGGCGAAAGGTCAGAAGAATCAAGAGCTGTGAATTTGTCGAAAACATAAAAACCACCGTATAAGTTCACACAAATAATTAGATTTATCGATCAAGACTTATATTTTGAATTTGAATGTATTTTTTTTGGAGGGAGGAAAAAATATTTTTAGCGAGGAGATTAGATTTCATTTGACTAATTTAGAAGATAATTAAAATACATTTCAACTCTTAATTAATATTTCTTTTTAAGCCCTTTTAACTTCTATAAATCAAACACACATTTTATATTTAATTTCAATACATATTCTTCCTCCTCCTTTTTACCTTCAAATAAACAAAACTCTCCCCTCTTCTTCCTACATTCATGTTTGAAGCATCGCTAAAATCAAACCATCCATTAACAAAGTTACTAGAGGTTAGATTTGTCATTTTTTTGTTTTTTAAGTTTTATCATGTGTTGAAGATGCTAATAGATCTTCATAAATGTAATAATTTAAGAGTTCAGTATTTAGCCAGTCCATCTTAATTTTGTGTGTTCACTTTGGTTAAGTAATTTTTGTTGTTTAGTATCTCTTAACGAGTTATCCCAAATATTTTTCTGCATACAATCAACCATTTTGTTAATATATCATGGAAATCATTATTGGTTTTAGCAGTTGGATTGAAAATTAAAAAATGTTAGTACCTATATAATACAATTTTCCTAATATATAAATACATGATATTTTACCTAAAAATAGCTAAAAATATTTACTTTGATCTCATTTCTTTTAATACATGTTGTTTTGAATTGACTTATATTTTGTCTTTATCAGGACTGAATCGAAGTCTTTATTAAATTTCATAATTTTGTCAGTTCTACTTAATGTTAGTATCTATCTATTTAATAAGATTTTCCTGATTTATAAATACATGATATTTTACATAAAAATAGCTAAAAACATTTACTTCGATCTCATCTATCTCAATATATTTTGTTTCTAATTGACTGATATTTTGTCTTTATCAGGATTGAGTCAAAATTTTATTAAATTTCATCATTCTTTTCAACTCTACTTAAATGTTTCTACTAGTACTCCAAAATATTTGTTTTTACACCAAATCTCAGTCAAACACATATTTATAACAAATTAAATATTTTCTTTTTTAATAAATACCTTTCAGAAGGTTGGTCAAACATGCTTTATTGTTCGCTCGCTTGTTCTTGAGTTCTTAAGTACATTGGTATATTTCTTTATATATTTTTCTAATTTTCAATTTTACATTTGTTTATTTTATTAGGAATATATAGAAAAAAAATGGCAAAAAGCACATCTGATGATATGCCGGACAAGGAAGCCATTCGGGCTGCAAAGACTCTATTGGAAATTTAAAGCAACAAATCAACCAATCTTGGCGAAAGGTCAGAGGAATCACGAGCTATCAATAGTCCTGAAACGATTTACCCCTGTAGCGAGGAAATAAGAGCTTGTTTCCGCAGAGAAGAAGCTCTAAGGTACACACAACCTAACAAGGCTTTCTCATATACAGCTGTGGATGGTAAGAAAGTTGTTGTCGCTCCACTGAAAAAGCGTGGAGGCAAACTATTCAAAAGGATTTGTCATTACGATATTCTTAAGAGCAATAAACCAGCTTTTTTCACTCTCCATTGTTTGGTAAGAGATGCAGCGGCTAGATTGCCCGGAGGAGTTGGGACTAGAGATGATGTTTGTGTTTTGGCCAGGGACTCACAATTCATCGTTGAGGACATCTCCGATTCACAACTTCGCAAAGCTGTAAAGGGAGGGTTGGATCGTCTGCACTATGAAGACGATCCATGTGTAAAATATGAGAAGGAAAGGCATCGGTGGACTTATCTACATGGAGATAGAAAGGTAGAAGATTTTGAAGATGATTCGACATAAAGTCTGAAATGAATTTCGTAAACTAAAGATTTAAAAGACTTTCAGCTGTAATTTTTAATAATGTCTCTGTATTGTTGCATCTTTCTGGATATTTTTATGTTTAATATATATATCATTAGTTCAAAAAGCGATGTGCTTGTTGATTTACTAATGCTTGTTAGTTCCTAAAATCAAAAGTTGAGAATTCACTAATTTCCGCAAATATCCACTCACTTAGTCTATCAGAAATAATATCTCTATGTTCAAAAGTTAGGGTAAAGTTTCTTACACACTAACCTCCCTAGATCCTACATGTTTGGCGCGGCCACTCAAGTTGATTCCTGGTACCCCCTACCGTGTTTGGTTTTTGGTGCAAGAAGAGTTTTTTTTTATTGGAATTTTTTTGTAAGAATTTATTTAAGTGATTTTATTGATATAAAGGCGAGATAAATGGCTTTACTACACAATTTCATCAACATGAGTGACGATTTGAGAAATTTACCCCTTGTCTGGTGAATTTTCGTTTTGAACTATCTATCGCATGACCTTTACCACTATATAGGCACTAGGCGAGACAAAGCTCTGAGTACAGAGTTAGCAGCACCTGAAGCACTAATTGTCATGGTTCATAAAGAAACAGCACAACGGGGTCACGCTGGACTTGTAAATTTGCTCAAAACTTGTATAGAATTTTTGTCAAAACCTTAGTTTTTGCAAAGCAGCTATTGGAACAAAGGGTTGATAAGAATAGAGATCTCATAATCATACGGTGATAAAGTATTTATAAAAATATGGGGTCATGAATGTGTTAAGCCTTATATCAACATTTGTTAATTGTCATTGATCAAGTGTCTCGATAGGCTTTTGCAACATTTACAAAAAGTGTATTAACATGTAATTGCTGGAAATTAAGCAATTATTGTTAATGAATTATTGCTATTTTTTGATGTTTCACAAGTCCTTTACCACTATATAAGAACTAGTTGAATCAAGTTCGGAAGTACAAAGCACTGGTTGTCCTGGTTCATAAAGAATGGGACAATGGGATCATGCTGGACTAGTACATCTGTGCAAAACTTGTATAGTTTTTGTCAGATTTTTAGTTTTTGCGAAGCAGCTATTGGAACAATGGGTCTTGCACTGAGAAAATAGAATGGCTTGAATTTGAATAAGTTCTTCTACATAAATGTCGCTTAGAGTTTTAGTGTGTCGCTAGAGCTTAATCTCTCCCCTTAGCTTTGTAATTCTATTCATCAATATAGAGATTTTACCTTTTATTGTCATGAAAGATGACTATTCCAATAGAAACACACCTACGCTCTCAGCTAAAAGACTCCCCTCGCTATAACAAAAACAGCTTTTAGCGTCAACAAAAATATCCATCAACAAAGAATGATAAATCTCTTACCGTCGTTAATTGTCATTGATTCAATGTCACAATAGGCTTTTGTCGCATTTACAAATAGTGCTAAAATTTAATTGTCACTAAAGAAACATATTTAGCGGCACTTAATTAAGCTGCTATTGTTAATAATTATCGCTAAAAATCATTTTTGATGTTATACTTGTGGCTTTGATCTTCAAGTACAGTGTTACATGCATCGTGCAAGTCTAATTGATCGATGGATGCTTGAACTTTTTCCCTTTTGCTGGACTAAAATAAGTTCCCGAAAGATGATGTTCAACAAAGAACTTCAGGTCTTTTCGACTGTTAGCATTGGAAACCACAAGAGATCATATTGCATACATAGACTCAGATCATTCAATATTACAGTGACTTTTAAGACTTCCTATACGATCTTAAGAAGTTGCCTTCCGTAGATGAGATTAGGCAAAATGAAGATGGAAAATATTGTATACCACGCAATTTTTTAACTAAAGCTGTATTAAAGATGTTTTGTATAATGGGGAAAAATAGTGATCTATATAGCTTCCAAATATAGTAAATAAAAACATAAAAATCATCATATAAGTTCACACGAAAAATTAGATACATCAAGTCATGTAATTTGAATTTTACTTTCTTTTTTTTGGAGGGTAGAAGAAATATTTTGTGAAGAGATTAGATGACTAACTCAGAAAATTATTCAAAATAATAATTAATACACCTTTTTAGTGAGGAGATTAGATTGACAAATTTAGAAAATTATTAAAATCCATTTATCTCTTAATGAATATACCTTTTTAGTCCTTTTAGCTTCTATCTCCATAGTCTATAAATCAAACACACAATGTGTATCTGAAAAATACTTTTTTCTACACCAAAAACTTTGATCAAACATGTTGAATGCCTTGAATCGGACCCGCTACAAACAGAAAGGACGGGGGTCTGTTGATTCTGTATGTTGGGCCCGAGCCTTTTAGGGCGTAGCTTAGCACTATATATAGACGCTATGGCAAACCCTATTCTGTAATTCTGTTTTTGCCTCTCCATAATAAAACTGCTCCCTCTCTTCTCGTGGACGTAGCCAATTTATTGGTGAACCACGTAAATCTGTTGTCTTGTTTTTCGCGTTTATATTTTCTCGTATTATCTCAAATTCCGCACAACAAAACACTTCACACTTTACAAAGATGACAAAAAACACATCTGATGACATGCCGGAAAAGGAAGTCAATCGTGCAGCAAAGATTCTAATGCAAATGGCCAAAAGCAGAACATGCACGTCATTCAATATTGGTGAAAGGTCAGAAGAATCAAGAGCTGTGAATAGTCTTCAAATGATTCACCCCTGCAACAAGGAAATAAGAGCTTGTTTACGTAAAGAAGAAGCTCTAAGGTACACACAACCTGAAATGGATTTCTCATATACAGCTGTTGACGGTCATAAATCTATTGTAGCTCCACTAAAAAGGCTTGGAGCCAAACCATTAAAAAGGATTCTTCATCACGATATTCTTAAGTCTAATAGACCGACTCATTTCTCTCTTCACTGTTTAGTAAGAGATGCAGCTGCTAGATTGTCCCGAGGTATTTGAACTAGAGATGACGTTTGTGTTTTGGCAAGGTATTCACATTTTATCGTTGAGGAAATCTCCGATTCACAACTTAGCAAAGCTGTAAAAGGAGGGTTGAACCGTCTGCACTATGAAGACGATCCGTGTGTAAAATATGACAGGGGAAGGCTTCAGTCGATTTATCTACATAGAGATAGAGAGGAAAGCAATTTTGAAGGTGATTCGACGTGAACTCTGAAGTGAATTTTGTAAAAAAAGATTTTCAGCTCTAAATTATAATCATGTCTTTGTATTGCTGCATCTTTCTAAATATTTTAATGTTTAATATAAATATTATTAGTTCAAAAAATGATGTGCTTGTTGGTTTATAACTAATATCATTAGTTCCAATTGAGAATGTGTCGAAAATATTAAAACCACCCTATAAGTTCACACAAAATATTAGATTTATCGATCAAGTTTTTTATTTTGAATTTGAATGTATTTTTTTTGGAGGGAGGGAAGAAACAATCTTTTTAATGAGGAGATTAGATTTCATTTGACTAATTTAGAAGATTATTAAAATACATTTCACCTCTTAATTAATATTCCTTTTTAAGCCCTTTTAACTTCTATAAATCAAACACATTTTATATCTAATTTCAATACATATTCTTCCTTCTCCTTTTTACCTTCAAATAAACAAAACTCTCCCTTCTTCTTCCTACATTCATCTTCGAAGAATCGCTAAAATCAGACCATCCATTAACAAGGTTACTAAAGGTTAGATTTGTCTTCTTTTTTTTTTTAAGTTTTATCATGTGTTGAAGATGCTAATGTAATTTAAGGGTTCAGTATTTAGCCAGTCCATTTTAATTTTGTGTGTTCACTTTGATTAAGTAATTTTTGTTGTTTAATATCTCCTAACAAGGTATCCCAAATATCTTTTCGCATACAATCAACCATTTTGTTAATATATCATAGAAATCATTATTTGTTTTAGCTGTTGGATTGAAAATTAAAAAATGTTAGTACCTATTTAATAAAATTTTCCTAATATATAAATACATGATAATTTACCTAAAAATAGTTAAAAACATTTACTTCGATCTCATTTCTTTTAATACATTTTGTTTTGAATTGACTTATATTTTGTCTTCATTAGGATTGAATCAAAGTCTTTATTAAATTTCATAATTTTTTCAGTTCTACTTAATGTTATTATCTATCTATCTAATAAAATTTTCCTGATTTATAAATAATTTACATAAAAATAGCAAAAAACATTTACTTCGATCTCATCTATCTCAATATATTTTGTTTCTAATTGACTGATATTTTGTCTTTATCAGGATTGAATCAAAGTCTTTATTAAATTTCATCATTTTTTTCAACTCTACTTAAATGTTTCTACTAGTACTCCAAAATATTTGTTTTTACACCAAATTTCGGTCAAACACATATTTATAACAAATTAAATATTTTTCTTTTTTAATAAATACCTTTCAGAAGGTTGGTCAAACATGCTTTACTGTTCGCTCGCTTGTTCTTGAGTTCTCAAGTACATTGGTATATTTCTTTATATATTTTTCTAAAATTCAATTTTACATTTGTTTATTTTATTAGGAATATATAGAAAAAAAATGGCAAAAAGCACATCTGATGATATGTCGGACAAGGAAGCCAATCGGGCTGCAAAGACTCTAATGGAAATTAAAAGCAACAAATCAACCAATCTTGGCGAAAGGTTAGAGGAATCACGAGCTATCAATAGTCCTGAAATGATTTACCCCTGTAGCGAGGAAATAAGAGCTTGTTTCCGCAGAGAAGAAGCTCTAAGGTACACACAACCTAACAAGGCTTTCTCATATATAGCTGTGGATGGTAAGAAGGTTGTTGTCGCTCCACTGAAAAACCGTGGAGGCAAACTATTCAAAAGGATTTGTCATTACGATATTCTTAAGAGCAATAAACCAGTTTTTTTCACTCTCCATTGTTTGGTAAGAGATGCCGCAGCTAGATTGCCAGGAGGAGTTGGGACTAGAGACGCGGTTTGTGTTTTGGCCAGGGACTCACAATTCATCGTTGAGGACATCTCCGATTCACAACTTCGCAAAGCTGTAAAGAGAGGGTTGGACCGTCTGCTCTATGAAGACGATCCATGTGTGAAATATGAGAAGGAAAGGCATCAGTGGACTTATCTACATGGAGATAGAAAGGTAGAAGATTTTGAAGATGAGTCGACATAAAGTCTTAAATGAATTTTGTAAACTTAAGATTTAAAAGACTTTCAACTATAATTTTTAATAATGTCTCTGTATTGCTGCATCTTTCTGGATATTTTATGTTAAAAAAAATATTTGCTTGTTGATTTACTAACGCTTGTTTGTTCCTAAAATCAAAACTTGAGAATTCACTAACTTCCTCAAATGGCCACTCACTCAGGTTGATACATGTTTTGATATGCTTTATTTGAGCTTAGTGGCTAATAGAAATTATATTTCTACCTTTAAAAAGTAGGGGTAAGCTGCATACACACTGATCCCCCTAGATCCTACTTCTGGGGTTTCACCGGGTATGTTGTTGATGTCCACTCATGTCAGCTTTTCGGTGCAAGAAAGGTGATTTTTTTCGATTGGAGTTTTTTTTTGTAGGAGATAAGATTTAAGCTGATTGACTTTATTGATGTAAAGAAGAGATAAATGACTTTACTACACAATTTTAGTAACATGAGTGACGATTTGAGAAATTTATCCCTTGGCCGGTGAATTTTCGTTTTTAGCTATTTTTTGATGTTTCACAAGTCCTTTACCACTATATAAGAACTAGTTGAATCAAGTTCGGAAGTACAAAGCACTAGTTGTCCTGGTTCATAAAGAACAGGACAATGGGATCATGCTAGACTAGTACATCTGTGCAAAACTTGTATAGTTTTTGTCAGATTCTTAGTTTTTGCGAAGCAGTTATTAGAACAATGGGTCTTGCACTGAGAAAATGGAATGGCTTGAAATGGCCATGTGATTGCTTGAATTTGGATATGTTCTTCTACATAAGTTTCGTTTAGAGTTTTAGTGTGTCGCTTGAGCTTAAGCTCTCCCCTTAGCTTTGTAATTCTATTCATCAATATAGAGATTTTACCTTTTTTGTCATGAAAGATGACTATTCCAACAGAAACACGCCTGCGCTCTCAGCTAAAAGACTCCCCTCACTACAACAAAAAGAGTTTTTAGCGTTAACAAAAATACCCATCAACAAAGAATGATAAATCTCTTACCGTCGTTAATTGTCATTGATTCAATGTCGCAATAGGCTTTTGTCGCATTTACAAATAGTGCTAAAATTTAATTGTCACTAAAGAAACATATTTAGCGGCAATTAATTAAGCTACTATTGTTAATAATTACTGTTAAAATCATTTTTGATGATATACTTGTGGCTTTGATCTACAAGTACAGTGTTACATGCATTGTGCAAGTCTAGTTGATCGATCGATGCTTGAACATTTTTCCTTTTGCTGGACTAAAATAAGTTCCCAAAAGATGATGTTCAACAGAGAACTTCAGGTCTTTTCGACTGTTAACATTGGAAACCACAAAAGATCATATTGAATATATAAACTCAGATCATTCAATATTAGCTGAATTTTAAGACTTTTTATACGATCTTAAGAAGTTGTCTTCAGTTGATGAGAATAGGAAAAATGAAGATGGAAAATATTGTATACCACGCAAATTTTTAACTAAAGTTGTATTAAAGATGTTTTGTTAAAATAGGGGAAAATAGTGATCTATATAGCTTCCAAATATAGTAAAATAAAAACATAAAAATCATCATATAAGTTCACACGAAAAATTAGATACATCAAGTCATGTAATTTGAATTTGATTTTCTTTTTGGAGGGTGTTGAATGCCTTGAATTGGGCCCTTAATTATCTGTCAATTCTGTATTTTGGCCCAAGCCTGTTAGGGCGTAGCTTAGCACTATATATAGAAGTTATGGCAAACCCTATTCTGTAATTCTGTTTTTGCCTCTCCATAATAAAACTGCTCTCTCTCTTCCCCGTGGACGTAGCCAATTTATTGGTGAACCACGTAAATCTGTTGTCTTGTTTTTCGCGTTTATATTTTCTCGTATTATCTCGAATTCCGCATAACAAATTGGTATCAGAGCCTCTCGGTTAATCGGTGTTTTTTGGATAATTTGAGATGTTTGCTTTGAACGTGAAAATCGACAAATTCACAGGGAGGAACAGTTTCAGTTTATGGCAGATCAACATGCGGGCTTTGTTGAAACAACAAGGCTTCTGGGCGCCGTTGTCGAAAGACAAGAACGCCGTCGTTACTCCTGAGATGGCGATTCTGGAGGAAAAGGCGCACTCGACGATCATGCTGTGTCTCGCGGATGACGTCATCACGGAGGTCTCGGATGAAGAGACTGCTGCTGGTATGTGGTTGAAGCTGCAGAGTTTGTACATGACAAAATCTCTAACCAACAAGCTGCTTCTGAAACAACGTCTATTCGGTTTACAAATGACTGAAGGTACACAACTCAGGGAACATTTAGAGCAATTGAATACTTTGTTATTAGAATTGCGTAATATCGATGTGAAGATCGAGGATGAAAATGCTGCCCTGATTCTGTTGATATCTCTCCCAATGTCGTTTGAGAATTTTGTTCAATCGTTCATTGTTTGGAAAGATACTGTGTCGCTGGAAGAAGTCAGATCGGCCCTTCATAGCAGGGAATTACGGCATAAGGCTAACGGCACAAGTACGGAACATACAGCCTTCCGGTCTGTCCACCAGTAGCAGAAAGGGAAGAAAAAACGGCGGAAAGAAAAATAAGCTGATGTCGAAGGGTGCAAAGCCGGATGATGTTTGTAATTACTGCAAGGAGAAGGGACATTGGAAATTTGATTGTCCAAAGAAGAAGAAGCAATCGGAAAAACAATCAGTTTTTGCTACTGTTGCTGAAGAAGACACCAATTCTGAAGAAGACATTGCCCTAGTTGCGGATGAGCACACTCATCATTCAGATGTGTGTATTCTCGATTCTGGGGCATCCTATCACATCTGTCCTAAGAGAGAGTGGTTCACAACTTATGAGTAGGTAGACGGAGGCAGCATCTCGATGGCCAACAGTTCTGTCTGCAAGGTGGTTAGAACAGGCTCGATCAAGATAAGGACACATGACGGTAGCTTCTGCACATTGAACGAGGTCAGGCACGTTCCATTGATGACGAAAAATCTGATATCTCTCAGTCTTTTGGACAGCAAGGGATTCAACTGGTCGGGAAAAGATGGAGTCTTGCAAGTCTGGAAGGGTTCAAATCTGATTCTGAAAGGTGTCATGCGTGGTACTTTGTATTTTCTACAAGGTTCCACGGTTACAGGTTCAGCCCATGTTGCATCGTCAGAAGTTCACCAGGAGGATATGACTTAGCCAATTTATTGGTGAACCACGTAAATCTGTTGTCTTATTTTTTGCATTTATATTTTCTCGTATTATCTCGAATTCCGCACAACAGAGGGTAGAAGAAATATTTTGAGTGAAGAGATTAGATGACTAACTCAGAAAATTATTCAAAATAATAATTAATACACCTTTTTAGTGAGGAGATTAGATTGAAAAATTTAGAAAATTATTAAAATCTATTTATCTCTTAATGAATATACCTTTTTAGTCCTTTTAGCTTCTACTATAAATCAAACACACACTGTGTATCTGAAAAATACTTTTTTCTACACCAAAAACATTGATCAAGCACTTTACAAAGATGACAAAAAACATATCTGATGACATGCCGGAAAAGGAAGTCAATCGTGCAGCAAAGATTCTAAAGCAAATGGCCAAAAGCAGAACATGCACGTCATTCAATCTTGGCGAAGGGTCAGAAGAATCAAGAGATATCAATAGTCTTGAAACGGTTCACTCCTGCAACGAGGAAATAAGAGCTTGTTTCCGTAAAGAAGAAGCTCTAAGGTACACACAACCTGAAACGGCTTTCTCATATACAACTGTTGATGGTCATAAATCTAATATAGCTCCACTAAAAAGGCGTTGAGGCAAACCATTAAAAAGGATTCGTCATCACGATGTTCTAAAGTATAATAGACTGACTCATTTCTCTCTTAACAGTTTAGTAAGAGATGCAGCTGCTAGATTGCCCCGAGGTGTTGGGACTAGAGATGACGTTTGTGTTTTGGCAAGGGATTCACAATTTATCGTTGAGGAAATCTCCGATTCACAACTTAGCAAAGCTGTAAAGGGAGGGTTGAACCGTCTGCACTATGAAGACGATCCGTGTGTAAAATATGACAGGGGAAGGCTTCAGTGGATTTATCTACATAGAGATAGAGAGGAAAGCAATTTTGAAGGTGATTCGACGTGAACTCTGAAGTGAATTTTGTAAACAAAAGATTTTCAGCTGTAAATTATAATCATGTCTTTCTAAATATTTTAATGTTTAATATAAATATCATTAGTTCAAAAAAAGATGTGCTTGTTGGTTTATAAATAATATCATTAGTTCCAATAGGGAATTTGTCGAAAACATAAAAACCACCGTATAAATTCACACAAAAAATTAGATTTATCGATCAAGTCTTATAATTTGAATTTGAATGTATTTTTTTTTTGGAGGGAGGAAAAAATATTTTTAGCGAGGAGATTGAATTTCATTTGACTAATTTATAAGATAATTAAAATACATTTCAACTCTTAATTAATATTTCTTTTTAATCCCTTTTAACTTCTATAAATCAAACACACATTTTGTATCTAATTTCAATACATATTCTTCCTCCTCCTTTTTACCTTCAAATAAACAAAACTCTCCCTTCTTCTTCCTACATTCATCTTCGAAGCATCGCTAAAATCAGACCATCCATTAACAAAGTTACTAGAGGTTAGATTTGTCATTTTTTTTTGTTTTTTAAGTTTTATCATGTGTTGAAGATGCTAATAGATCTTCATAAATGTAATATTTACGGGTTCAGAATTTAGCCAGTCCATCTTAGTTTTGTGTGTTCACTTTGGTTAAGTAATTTTGGTTGTTTAATATCTGCTAACGAGTTATCCCAACTATTTTTCTGCATACAATCAACCATTTTGTTAATATATCATGGAAATCATTATTTGTTTTAGCCGTTGGATTGAAAATTAAAAAATGTCAGTACCTATTTAATAAAATTTTCCTAATATATAAATACATGATATTTTTCCTAAAAATAGCTAAAAACATTTTCTTTGATCTCATTTCTTTTAATACATTATGTTTTGAATTGACTTATATTTTGTCTTTGTCTGGACTGAATCGAAGTATTTCTTAAATTTCATAATTTTTTCAGTTCTACTTAATGTTAGTATCGATCTATTTAATAAAATTTTCCTGATTTATAAATACATGATATTTTACATAAAAATAGCTAAAAACATTTACTTCGATCTCATCTATCTCAATATATTTTGTTTCTAATTGACTGATATTTTGTCTTTATCAGGATTGAATCAAAGTCTTTATTAAATTTCATCATTTTTTTCAACTCTACTTAAATGTTTCTACTAGTACTCCAAAATATTTGTTTTTACACCAAATCTCGGTCAAACACATATTTATAACAAATTAAATATTTTTCTTATTTAATAAATACCTTTCAGAAGGTTGGTCAAACATGCTTTACTGTTCGCTCGCTTGTTCTTGAGTTCTCAAGTACATTGGTATATTTCTTTATATATTTTTCTAATTTTCAATTTTACATTTGTTTATTTTATTAGGAATATATAGAAAAAAAATGGCAAAAAGCACATCTGATGATATGCCGGACAAGGAAGCCATTCGGGCTGCAAAGACTCTATTGGAAATTTAAAGCAACAAATCAACCAATCTTGGCGAAAGGTCAGAGGAATCACGAGCTATCAATAGTCCTGAAACGATTTACCCCTGTAGCGAGGAAATAAGAGCTTGTTTCCGCAGAGAAGAAGCTCTAAGGTACGCACAACCTAACAAGGCTTTCTCATATACAGCTGTGGATGGTAAGAAGGTTGTTGTCGCTCCACTGAAAAAGCGTGGAGGCAAACTATTCAAAAGGATTTGTCATTACGATATTCTTAGGAGCAATAACCCGCCTTTTTTCACTCTCCATTGTTTGGTAAGAGATGCAGCGGCTAGATTGCCTGGAGGAGTTGGGACTAGAGACGATGTTTGTGTTTTGGTCAGGGACTCACAATTCATCGTTGAGGACATCTCTGATTCACAACTTCGCAAAGCTGTAAAG